TAATTCACATTACTTGTCTCTTCTACTGCGTGAAGCAGCAGATTTCTGTCGGCAGTGCAGCGAGGGTGCAGGGGAGAGAACAAAGAGCAGCAGGCAGTGAGAATGTGACACCATCCCTTCCCGCATTGCTCGGGGCTGCAGCTCTGCTGGCTGGATGTTATTTTAGCGGCTGTGCCTCCCTCCCATGCCGTCCCAGGGCCCGGGAGCCGCGGCTCTGACGCCCGGTTATCCCGAGGCTTATTCATGTTCAGGAATGGGAGGGTCAGGGCCATCGACACACACCAGCATCCTGCTGCCTATTATTTCCTGCCAGCCCTGGCGTTGCACCAAGCCCTAACATGACAGGTGGATGGAGTTCACAAGGAAATCATGTCATGGGCCAGTTTTCCAGGAAAGCTGTTAACTCTATTCACAAACCCAGGCCTTCAGATGGAAAGGGAACGTGGCTGAGAAGAGGCGGTGAAGGGCTGCTCTGCTGTTATTTATGTTTTTGTCACAGATTATTCGCTGACATCTCTTGCTGCAGCACAAAAACCTTTACCTCTGCACAGTGCCTACACCTTCAAGTGCAGACTGGCCTTTTAACTTAAAAAACCATGGGGACACTGCCTCTGCAAATCCTATGTGGGCATTCGATGCCAGTCAGGCTGAAAAGATGGTAAAAGAATCTGCCTTTTGCTGAGCTAAATGCTTCCTGGAAAACAGAAAATAAATATTAGGTGAGGATCTAAGACTGATATTACCCTGGGGACTTCAAATATTTTGTAAGAATGAAACTGAGGATAACTGAGGATAAACCAGGATGTATCAGAAACAAGACTTACATATTTTTAAAAGTCTCCATCAACAAGGCACATTTACTTTTCTTCCATTACTCTGTGCAGTGTCCAACATCTGCAGTTGTATGTTCTTTTTCTTTCCTCTTTTTCTGTTTTTAAAATGTAATAATATTGCTATTAGTATAGAAAGCACAGAAGAAGGGTTAAGAGGAAAAGCAATCAATGCAAAAGAAGTGCTTTTCAAAATTGCCATGTTTGCTACAAATGCAAATTTTAGGATGCACAGAGTCAGGACAATAGGACTCCAACTGGCTGCTCACAAGAGGAAGGATTAGGTCCTGTGTCATGTTAATAGTGACATCAACAACCTGAATAAAAGCCAAAAATTCAAGTAGATTTTGCAGTTTAAGACCATTGTTCTCCCACATGGTTTAGCCTGTAAGATTTAGTCTAAACACAGATTTCTGCCAGAATTGATAGTTTTCACATCATACAGTGCAGCTCTTGATATGTAATGTACTTCAATATATAAAAGCCCTTCATGACTGGCAATATTTACATTGATATAGCTAAAATGTCATATAAGCTAGAGGCAACAAAGGTATTGGAAATATAAAAGCAAAAGTTATATTTGTCAATGCTCAGCGGTACTGGTAATATCTATGCAAAATGATGGCTGCCAATATTGTTCTGCTCTTCTTATTTTGCAGCCCATTGTAAAAACAAATTAGGTGAAACCTGCTAATAATATGCACCAACTTCCCCCTCAGATATCAAAGGAGCATAACCCTGGATTTGAGTCTGGATAAGCAAAGCTGAGGCAGGAACACGGGATATTCCAGAGAGCTTGTTCCTGGCCTGACTCTTCCGGATGCTGATGAGACTCAGGCCTCTCTTCGTTCCACACTGCGAGCTGGTTCCTGTTCTCTGGAGCTGCAGTAATTCTGTACATTTGGTGTTTGGTAACAGGAGCTCTCCCAAGTGTCCGTGGCGGAGAAACTTAATTCTTGACACAGGTCCATGAAACTAACCTTCCTTTCTCTCTTTCTCTCTCTCTCTCTTCTCTTTTTTTTTTTTAAATAAACCTGGAAAATTATGGTATTAGAGCCAGAGTCACGTACGAAACACAACACGTGAAATGACTGGGGAATTGTAAATTGGGCGTTTTGACTTGAACTAAATCTACGCATTGTCATACCAATCTGATTATTATTTTAAAATACTGTCCCAGGCTATAACTGTCTTTGTGTACAATAGCAATACAGGGTGTAGTTACAGACACAATTTCCTGTGCTTAGGTTTTGCAATTATTATTTAAGATCACTGTAACATTTGCCCGGAGCACCAGCGCAATTCCTCTATTAGATAATTTTCTATCCTTGTGAGGGCAGTTTTGCTTGTGCAGTGCTGCCAGAGCTTTCAGGAAGGGATAGACAAGTAATTGTGACAATAAAATTTGCACCAGCTCCCACCCAGCCTCTCCCAGAACTGAAACACTATTTGTGGCATTCAAAGCCTTTTCACACCAGAAGGGAAGGTGTTTCTGAAGAGGAAAGTCACTTTGATCTCCACAGGGTTGCATCCTTCTGCTTCTCAGATTCCCATGAGAAACACCGAACAGCAATCAAAGACTTGGTGCACTGCAGCACCCAGGCAGGAAACTCCAAATCAATCCAGATTAGGTCATGGAGTTCAAAATTTGAAGCAGAAATTCTGGTTGGGCTTTAAGGGCTGAAAAGGATGTGCTGTTCCTGGGTGTGTAGAGAGAGAGAGGATAATAATGAAAATATCTGAAATAAATAGATTTTCAAGAAGAAAAAGCATAGACTGTGAGACATGGGTAGGATGTCGCTGCTGCTCAGTCAGAAAAGATGCTACTACTGCTTCAGACTGGCCCAAATTCAATGCAAATGAATGATGGGGAAAAATCAGTTCCTAAGGCCATGTGAACACTCAGCAATGAAACCTCTGAAAACATCTTCAGCAGCCTAAAAATCTCTGCCTGAACTGCTCACAACTTCTGCTTTGCTCCTGCAGGACACCAGGATCAGGTGCTGGGATTCTCCTCCAAAAAATTATTGGTTTGCTCCTCTGAATGAAGGACAAATAAGCCTGACTTGGTGCACAGCCTTTCATTTGCTGCTTGGGATGAAGGTGTTGTGCACGTACCTCATCTCTAAAGGACACAGGTGATGCTGCTGAGCTCACAGCCCCTCTCACCCAGAGGCCTCCCAGCCTGTCCAGTTAGGTGGTGCTGAGGAGACCAGGGTGTGCCCGAAGCTTTGCTGTGCCAGGGATCACACCCAGGGTCACTGCAATGTGTCTGTCTCTGCACACAGGCTGGGTAATGCCCAGGTGCCCACAGTTAGCAAGGCAGAGGGTGATCCAGGAACTCTGCTGTGTCCTTGCCTATGCACTGCAGAAGTCAAAGAGGGCAGAGACAAGGAAAAGGAAATCATCTCTAGTAGTAGCAGAGCAATTCTTACTCTCTCCTATTTACCCTTCCTGAAAAAAAACTGCTCCAAAACCCCCATTGTCTCCATTCCACTGAGTTTGGCTTTTCTTCTTTGATTTGGAGCTGAAGCCTCACCTTGTACCTCTACCTTCCTTTCACAGCAAGCTCAGCTGTACCACAGTGATGGCCAAAGGAGGAGCCATGTGGGGGAAAGACTTCTGGAGAGGGCAGTGGGCAGCTCCTGCTCTAGGCTCAGCCTAGGAACCATGGAGCCAAGCTGCCATACACTTAGTGGAAATCACTGCATCTCCACAGCCCCTGCAGTTCTCTCCTCAGCAGCCCCCAAAATTCCACTGACAAAAAAAGAAATGGGGAGGGGAAAGAAGGAGTCAGAAAAACTATTGTTCCCAGGGAGGGAAAAAGATGAACAGCTCTATTTAGCTCATCCAGCTTTGCTGATGTCAATCACTTCTCTCATTTTAAACAGGAAAGACACCACTTTAGTCCACCTGTTCCATTATTTATCATGCTATGCGTTTCCCATGAATTGTCACTCATGCAAAACCTGTACATCGTAAGGGGACACCCTAATATTTTTAATGACCTTAAGCAAAGTGATTGACACTAGACACCGGTGTCAGATGTTCTGGTGACGCAACATGTTCTCCTAGCAGCAGGAAAGCTTCCTGCCGTGATTAAGTGAGGGCTATGGAAGTGCTAAAATGTGTTGTCAGCTTTCCTCTGATGCAAGTGATTTTATTATAGCGTCTGGTAACCATGGAGTGTGGCAACGCAAATACTGACCCCAAACATCCCCTCCTGCACATATAGCTCACTCTATTTAAAACACAAGGTGCAGCTTGCAAATCCAGGGATAAGTTGTGGATGTAACAATCTTAAACCATGGAGGGCAGAGGAAATGGTGGCACCTCAGCCAGAATTCCTGGGTGGTTTCAGCAGAAGTATAGGGATCCAGGATGAGCTGCAGAAGGAACCCCTGCAGCACCTCTTTGGCAGTGGGCTCTGCAGCAGCATCACCAAAACTGCCCCGGCTGCCAGAGGCTCTGAGGGCAAAGAGAAGACACAGGCCTGTCTCACTTTGGTAGTAGAAAGCAAAAATTATACCCAGGCCTTTTGAGTCTGGAGAAAGAAAGGGGGAAAATAGAAGAGTAAAACAGAAAGAGGGCTCCATGCAGCCCCTCTGCCTTCTCATACACATCGGGGTGGAAACCTGTGACTTATCTCAGCACCACATGCCCTTCAAGAAGGAGAAATCATGTTCTGGTTTGCTTCAACTTGGGACAAGTCTCTCAATGATCCATTAACTGAGAAAAGCTGGAAGACCTCTACAACAAAAAGTTACAGAATCAACATCTCAGCCACAAGCAGGGAACACCTGGCACCTGCTTTTCATGAAGATTTGTAATCCCAAAGCTCAGTCAGCAAACACTACACATAGCTTTGCTTCCACAAGTTATTATTAATAGTTATGTCTCAAACTGACTGTGACAGTGAGTGTCTGCAGAACTGTCTGCTATGATTTTTCAATAACAGAGTTGTTAATCAAGCTGCAGAGGGTTGGACTATCAAACCAAAGTCCACAGGCTGCAGAGGTTTTTGTAAGAGATCAGCAGTACATGTGTTCACAGCTATTGTCACAGGGGTTGTGCTACAAAAATAGAAATATAAAGTAGCCAGAGTTGAAGATACAAGCTATCTTGATATCAATAAAGAAATATTTTCTAAAGGACAAACAGCACTGGATATTATTTTAATGAAATTTATTTTTTCATTTTATAGCAAAATAATCAAAAGTGCTAAACCCAACCACTTTAATTTACAAAAAAAGTCTCATGTTTTAAGCTATGATCATACCTTGTTATTTAGGTTAAACAACATAATGACACATTTCTACTGATTTCTATTCAATAGTGAAACAAAATCAATATTAGTTAGTTTAAAAAAGGGGGAAAGTACCACAAGTATTGGGAGGGGGAAGTTACATAAAATATAAAATCAGCTTATTGAGAAATTTGCAATGTGTTTGCTTTTTTTTTTTTTTTTTTTTTTAGCTACAGTTTAAGTCCCAGATACTCTGGCCATAAGCTTGTAGTCACTTCAAATGCTATGACTTCTCCCTTGGTCAAATGTCAGTGTTTTAAGGAGACCTCTGGCATTTCAAGTCAATTGAAATTATTTTCTCAGTTCCCACACATTCCCTTTCCAACACGATCAGCATGTTGGAGAAGTTGGAGAACACACTTAGCATGGTTGCATTATGTGACACAGTTTTCTGTGAAGGAAAAATGGGTTTTCCTCTGTCTTGGAAAGAATCACTACCAAGTCTGCGGTAAGAAATATATTGAGAGCACTTGCAGAGTTGCTACAAGTATTTCTTAATCCATTCCATTTTCATTTCAGTTTGTTTCCACAGTTAAATTAAAAACTGCAATCTCTCCTACTGATAAATAGCCAAGTTGACTTACAAAGGTTCTGCCTTCTGTCCAGCCTTCTCTTGGCTGCCTTTAACCGAACAAGGTTCGCTGGTTTGCCACGAGCGCTGTCTGGCTCTCCCGCCTCTTTGCTTTCTTCTTGTGCTGCCTGATCTTCCAGCACACGGCGCTGGAAGCCAGCAGAACGAGTCCCGAGGACAAGAGGACCAGCCCAAAGACAGAGATGATGGATCCATGGGAGTTGAAGATGTATGCCACGGCGGTGACCACGATGCCGGCTATCAGGATGACCACGCCGAAGGGAATGGTGCAGCGGTAGCAGGAGAGCTCTGCTCCCCCCGTGGCTGCCGTCAGCTGGCACTCACTGACCAGAGGAATGGTGGTTATCACACAGTCATTGTTGTTACTCTTCTCTGTGGGTGCAGAATCAGGGTGCTTTGGGGTGCCCAGGATCTCTTTGATAGGTTCGTTTGTCATCTTGATTGTCTTGGCTTGGCCCGTTCTTAGGCTAGAGCAGGCTCTGCTGAGCTCGTGCTGCGCTGTGGAGAGAAGAGCACGACTTCAACCAAAAATTACCAATTATTTATAGGACAGATGGGGACACAGAAGTATCCCCTTGGGATCACAAACCACCAGATATTCAGACCCCACAAGGATTTTTGCATAAGATCAACAGTGACATGGCTGATTGTGAAGGATCTGAACCACTTCTTGTAGTCAACAATACGTATGTAAGTTCTGGAAATAACAGAGTCACAGACCAAGACAGAAACCAAAATTAAAGTGTTGTGGGCCAAATCCTACATCAACTTACATCCTAAAGTCAGTATTTCTGGACATAGTTTAGATTTCAATGGCATTACATTTTCCCACAAAGAGGTGAAGTTCACACATTGTTTTGATTTTTGCTCACACACTTTTCACACAGTTACTTTATTCACCTACACACAATACATTACACAGATGTGCTCCACTGCACATCACAATAACACGGTCAAGTACTAGCCCAGCAAAAACCAGGATGAACAGTGAGTTCTTTCTCAGTGCAAGGTGTAGACATGGGGGGAGTGAGGATGCAAACAGATTCCCACACTCGGCTCAGCTCAAGGCTGATGAACCTCCAGTTACAGCAATATCAATGCCAGACTGACAACTTGCCATTTACACTGGCTTCATGCAAAAGCAACAGGTCTCTTGTAAATCCATGAAATTACATCCCTGCTACTGTGGGAGGTAGATTTACCATCATATTCACTCATCTCAGATACAGCAGGTTGTTTTCCTCCTGTTTCCAGACCGTAAACACACTGTCAGTCCAGACAGCACGCACAGTTTGACTGCATCTGCACAGGACACAAATACCTTTTGGCTCTGGGCCCAGGGAATAATCAGAGTCCACCTGCTCAGAGCAAGAGGAGCCCATAGGTCTCCACCATTCCAGAGCTCAGCCTTGTGTCTGGGGCTCTGGTGATGTGGGGTGACTCTGGGGCCTGCAGTGAGCTCTGCCAACACCGAGGCTGCCACAGATGTGCTATCCTGGACCCAGCTCAGTGCACCCCAACACATGCTCCAGAGACTGGGACACTGGGGAACCACTGGGGAACCACTGGGGAACCACTGGCTGTCCTGCTGTGAGCAGCTCCCAGGACTCCTCCACCACTCTGGTGTGGGCTGTGCCGCTTTTGCTCTCATGAGCAGCACGATATGCAGCAGCTCAGAGAACAAGGAAGAGCGTTGGCAATGCAGTAATGCTTTTATCACTTTTATCACCTTCACATCTGTGACTAGGAAGTTAATTGCCAGATACTAGTATTCTCCTTTTCCTTTCCCACCACTCCACCCTTGTTGCTAAGATATATTTGCTCATTGTGGAGAGCCCTTGGTTTTATATCTCAGTACCTCCTATAACAGACTGTGAGTTTTACAAGAAAGAGGATTTCACTCTTTTTAAAAAAAAAACCACAGGCACAAACAGGCTAAATGCTGGACGTAGTCAGAGTGTTTGTATACAAAGTCCCCTTGAACCCTTAAGAGAGAAGGAAAGCCCAGATCTGGTTTGCCAAAGCTTTTGTTGTACTGCTCTGGGGAAGGTGCTCAGCTCCCTGTTGTATTGCTGTGCCCGTGGGCTCAGCCCTGCCAGATGAGCCTGTCCCTGCCAAGCACACACAACACACCCCAGCACACACAGTGACAGCCCAAGAGGCAGCAGGCACACACTGAAACGCTCTGATCATCAGGAAAAACTTTTATACTGTGAGGGTAACTGAGCACTGGAACCTAGAGAAGTTTTGGAGTCTACAATTGAGATAATCCAAAGTGATCTGCACAGTCCTGGGCAACATTGCCTAGGTGCTGAGCAATAGGAGGGTCAGAGCACATGACCTCCAGAAGTCCCTTCTAACCATGACTATTCAATGATTCTGCCTGTTTCTGTGAGAGTATTCAGTGTCTCCAAGGGCAGGAAAGGGATTTGTTCAGTGCTTATCAGACAAAGCAAATATATCTGTGCTGATACCTCAGATATCCTAAATTCTCCTAGGTTCGGTAGCTTTGTTCTTTGAATCATAATGCATGGTTAAATGCCTTTTAAATCAGGCAGAAAGAGCCCAGGAAAGCCATGGGTTTGCTCTTGAGTGTCATTGATCTATTCCCATGTGGATCTGAGCCCACATTCTGCATTTTCAATAATGATTGACACAGCAGAGAGACATACACTGGTGCCATTATGTGCTGCATTACTTATCCATAAAACGTTATAGAAGTTCAGCATAACATAAGAATGTGGTCCCCAAATGTCACCTTTTTTTGATCTTATCATTCAATTAGTATAATATTTTATTAACAAATTTGAGGGAGAAAAAATTTAAATATTTTGCATATAAAAGGTCTATTGGCTCAAATACACTGTAATAAATATTCAAAAGTCCAAAGTACTCTAATAGTCACTGAAATAGGGAAAGTGTCAAATAACTTGAAAAAGCCAATAATAAGCATTATTATTCTGAAAAATTTTAACCTGTAATCAAAATGTATTTACTCCTCTCTCTAAAGTCCTTGTCCCTCTGCTTCAGCTACATCTTCAATGAGCACTAAATTCTCCTAGACCTCTTGTACAGAGATTTGTGAAGAAAGGAGATATATTTATACAGTCAAATCTAAAAGGAATCAAAAGAATTCTAATCTATAATAATTAAGTCAATGGCAATCTGTTGATTTCTGAGGAGGACAGTTTTTTTTCTAGAATAGGATATAAGAAGGCAGGCATTCATATAAAACAAATAAACAACCCTCTACTGAAATGCTATTAAATTAAATAAACAACAGAACCTATCTGAAGTGTGAGCAAAGGTATCTAGCCCTAGAAAAAAGGGCACTGGATCCTCATTGCCAGCAAAGTCACTTCTGACTTAAGCCAACAGGTGATTTGGTTCAAGTTTCAGGGTAAGAAATTTAGGCAAAGATACCCAGCAACACCAGCATCCTCTCACTAATCATACCACAAGCACTATCTTAAGGAGCTGCTTTGAGTTGGAGGAAGAATGTGCTTCTGTGGCAATCTGTGGCTAACCCTGGGTAAATGGGAGAGAAAAATTTTAGCCACTAATAAGGGTAAATTTAGATTTATCAAAAAGACATTAAATCCATCAGCATGCACACCTACCAGATCCAGGAGAAATCCATGGTAAAAGAGTGCTGAAGATGTCTTATATGGCAATTCAAGGCAGAAAGAGCTGCTCAAGTCTTTGAAGCATCAGATACTGCTGAATGATGAACTGGTGGTGACAATATTCTAGCATGGAAGTTTCCTACAAGAAAAGTTGTTGGATATTTATTAGCTTCTTAAGAATAAAAGTCTTGAGTGTAAAGCTTCTGCCGTGGGCTGACTCCTGCTGCTAACCTAACCAAAGCAGGAGATGTTCTCCCTCCTGCTCTCCTAGTGGCTTCTGCCTCTTTTCTTGGAAGCAGCCACCCATTTCTGGCCCAATGTAACATTTTCCTTTGATGATGTGACATCCCAGAAGTGAGTATCACAACCCAGTCAATTCCCCCAGAAAGAGCCAGGCAGGAAAAGGCAATACACAGGAATAAATAGATAATAATAGATAAAAGTCTTATTTAACCTAATTTCTATTGCTCACTTCACCTGTGTGAATAATGATTCAGAATACATGGGAGTTTGTCTCTTCTATGAGTCAAATTTCTTTGAGCAAATCACTCCATCTCCCTGCTCCTCAGATTTCCTAGCTGTGAACTGACTGTGACAACACACTTACCACTAAAAAAACCTGTTAGATCTCTTCCACTATAAGAAAACCTAAGTAATATAATCCCAAAAACTCAGAATAAAAAAAAGGTGAGACTTACACAGTCCAAGACCTCTCTGTAATAAAAGCAAGTCCACTATATTTACTATTGTTAATTTCTGTTGCTGGATTTTTAAAAACAAGATTCGTAACTCCAAGAGGGACAAGGCAGACGCTGCAGTGGGGCAGTGACAACTCTGCAGAAAGCAGAGTGATGGAAACTGTTATCAACTGCAGAAACAGCTGTGAAATCACCAGGCAGCTGGGTAAAACTCACGAAGCAGCAGATATATGTTGCTAATCTTATTTGACACCCTTTCTAGAAGTGCATGATCATGGAAGATGATTTCAACATGGAAGCAGGAGTCCTAAGTGGGGATGAGAGTAAATTCGTGAGAGTAAGTTTGTATAATGATGAACTTTAAGGGTTTTTCTGTTTTTAAGTTATTTAGACCCTGCTAACAGTTCACAAACAAACATTTACAGGCACAAACTGCTGCTGTTCTCCAGAAGATCCTTGGAATAAGCCTGTGACATTGCCAAAGTATATTTAGCTGATTACTGAAGTTAGCTAATAATAAGGAAGCCTATTTGTTTATCTCATTGATTATATTCTTTTCCACAGGACCTAGCAATTAGTTTAATTTTCTGAAAGTTTGGAGGGAAATGCAGAAAAAAATCACAACTTCAAATAAATAATCTAAATTTCATTAAAACAAATGCAGACCTCTGAAATGTGCTTGCAGTCAACTTCCACTTGGATTACAGAAAGGTTACATTTGTTTGAAAGCTCTTCCCAGTGCAATTGTGCCCCCTAAGCCACTCTGTCAGCATCTTGCTTGAAAAAAATTAATTGCTCGTCAGTTATTTATTTCTATTTATCCCTGACTGCACACAGTTTAGATATTTTTATTTTAAATTAATGTCTTTATAAAAAATTCTGACAGAGCAACTTCTTAGAGATGGAATTTCTTCCCTTCTCCTTCCCCCTCTCACCACAAAACTGAGAAGCAGAAACACATGAGATCTCTACATGAAGCTTCCAGCATTCTAACTCGGAATCATTTCAATGTGGTGCTCTCTCAGGAGGCTTCCCACATATGGAGTATCTCTGTGCAAGGGCAAAGAGCCACTACAACCCTTTCCTCTTTTTCATATTTTACTTATAACCATTGGGACACATTTGAGTTTTCCGCCTTCAAGCTCCGGACCAGATTCTCTCTATTTTACACAATACTTCAGGCACCCTTCTTTGCTTATTTAAAATCCTAATAAATCATAATGCTCACACTTCACACTATGGCTATGCATTAAAGTGACTACAGAAAATAGCCTAAGGAGTCCCTCTGTCCCGAGAGCCTGAGTTCATTCAGAATTCAACAGACTACAGTAATCCTCAACACAATCCCGCAGCTCTGCCCCAGGTGAACACTCCTGGAAACACACAACCAGAATTTGTACTTACAAGACTCCAGAACCATGCCCTGAGCTACAGAGGCAGCAGAACACATTGTCTTCAAACCAGCTGCCTCAGGATGCAGTAAGTTTCTCTCACCAAGTTCTCAAGTAAAATCATGAACAGATTTAAACTCTCGCACCTTTTTCGTTTTCCCGACATAGCCGGGGTGTAGGATGGGAGCCAACCCAACCCCTCCACAAACCAACTCTGTTATGCGCCAGCTGCAAAACTTTCAAACGCGCCTGCTGCACGCCACGCACACACCTGGGCTAAAATCCTCCGTGTCACGCCTGTCCCCGAGCGCCTCTGCAAGAGAGCGGAGAGGCGAGCAGGCGGGGAAAGCCCTGTGCACGTACAGCCCTGCGGCACCGGGGAGGCAGCGCTCCGTGGGACACCGACCTGCACCGGGAGCGGCTGCGGCTGCCGAGCCCCCGGCCGCTGTAAGCGGGGAGAGCCCTGTGCCGGAGCCGAGCCCCCGCAGCCGCGGCCGCCCCGGGAGCCGGGCACGGGAGCCGGAGCACGGCGGGCACCGGGAGCCGGGCACGGGAGCCGGAGCACGGCGGGCACCGGGAGCCGGGCACGGGAGCCGGAGCCCCGCGGGCACCGGGAGCCGGCGGGGGCGCGGCCGCGGGGCGTGCGGCTCCGGGGCTGCCAGCGAGCTGAGCCGTGCCAGTCCATGCCACAGGCTGGGCCAGTGTGCCATAGCATGGGCTAGTGAGCTATAGCGAGCCGTGCCTAGCGAAGCCGAGCCGTGCCTTACCTCCCGGCCGCCGGGCGGGACTGCGGCGGCCACCAGCCCGCAGCCAGCATAAGAGGGGATGCAGCTCGCCCGCACAAGGGACTGTAAACAAAGTTCTCGATGAGAGCGAAACAATTAAGGGACCGGAGCAAATTCAGCGGCGGGAGCTGCGGCGGGCGGGGCGGCGGCGGGCCGGTCCCGCGGGGCGGGCGGGCCGGGAGGGTGTCCGGCAGCGCCGGGCTGGGCCGGCCGGGGGCCGGGCCTCTCCCTCCGCCCCGCGCCGCGCACAGCCCGGCACAGGGATGCGCACGGCCGGGACAGCGCGAGGGGAGGCTCCGCACCGCGCCCTGCCCGCGGCAGGTCACACACACGGGGCCTGGAGCCCCTCTGCCCTCCCGCAGCCCCTCTGCCCTCCCGCAGCCCCCTCTGCCACCCTCCAGCCCTCTCTGCCATCCTTCACTCCCCTCTGCCCCCTCGCAGCCCCCTCTGCCATCCTTCACTCCCCTCTGCCATCCTTCACTCCCCTCTGCCCTCCCGCAGCCCCTTCCTCTCTCCAGCCCCTCTGCCCTCCTGCTCTCCCAGCCCCGTGCCGGGTGTTCGGCCACATCCCGGCTGCAGCAGTGTGGGTGAGGGTCAGTACCTGTCCTGAGCTCGCTGGATGGCCCTGATGGGTCACTTGAAAGCACAGGCGCTGCCGAAATCCAGATGAACCCCTAGCTCAACTGCTCAGGAATTAAAGGAGGAGGAATATGGCTTTGGATGGCATTCTTAAAGGATAAAGTTTTTTATATCATTTACAAATATTTTAACTGGCTTTTCTAATCTTTAATTACTCATTTCTGCAGCACGTCAAATACTACAGGGGTTTGGGGAGGATGGGTGTGGGTGTTTGTTAATTTTTTACCATGATTTCTGTTACTTCAGACAAAAAACAGAGAAATTATGCTTTTAAGTCTTGTAAAAGGACATACTTGAATTTTGCAGTTAAGCTCAACCAAAGTTTATGTTTAAAAGACACTATTTTATCAATGATTGATAAAAGAACAGTGCACCAGATGTATTTAATCAGCCACTCTGTCTCTGAAGGCATGCATGTACTTTTGACTCCCAGGGTGAAATCCTGGCCTCACAGAAATCAATGGTAAAACTTCCATCAACTTCACAGTGGCCAGGATTTCATCCTATGTGTTGTTAAGAACTGCCCAGTGATGGAGACCCTGCCAAGGGTTCATCTCCTCCAGACAAATCAACCAGGTTCTGGAAAAGCTCCACAGCTTTATGCAAGGAACTGTCAGTTTTTCCCCCTACTTGCTGGTGCTCCCATCAAATACACCAGCATATGAGCAGAAATGAAAAACAAACTGGATCTGAGGGGAACTCCATCAGGCAGGATCTCCTGCCCCATTGTCTGGTCCTTCCCAGTGCAGGCAGCCATGTCTGTAATATATTTATTAGACTTGAAAAGTTCCGCCTCAAAACCAGCCAGGTTTCCCTCTCCTCCTGTTGGAGACTACAAGCCTTATTATTTTTGAAATATAGGACCCTTGTTTTCAGCTGAATGGGTTAATAGACAATTATACAAGGACAAGTAAACATTTGGCTGAAGCAGCTACTCTCTCTTTTAGAGAGAGTAATTAACCTTCTAATGCCCTAAGAAGGTGAAATTAAACTCTTGGGCTTGTTTTCAATCATTTTTTGAGATGTCTTACCAACTTCTTCCATGGAAGTGCAAGTATTTCCCTGGCCTACTAGAAATACTAACAATTCATAAATTTCTTCAGATTTTTCAGGATGTCTGTTTTTTTTCTCCAGTATCAGTTTCATTTTTCACTTTATATCAGAAATTCTTGCTGTTTGCACATGTGTGCATGACCTAAATTTCACCCCATTCCTGTTGCATCAGTTCCTCTCTAGTCCTTCCAGTCTACTATTTGGTCCTCCTATGTTGACAGAGAACCTCCCTCTGGCTTACACCATCCGCAGCTCCACTAGTACATTCTTATTTTTTCATGCCAACTTCATTACTGAAAGTATTACATAAAATACGGAAAGTTTTACATAAGATATCTCATGAAACTGATTTTTTAGGAGCTATTTTAATACACATAAACAAGCACTGAAGCTGGGCTTAGAATTCATGTTTCTGTACAAATAAAGGCCCTAACAACAGGCAAAAAAAATCATACACTCTGCTAGACCTCATGCAATTCTTATTTCTTGCTGTGAAGCATAAAAGCTGCAATAAAAAGTGATGGGAATGAGGTCCCCTCTAGTGCTGAGAGATCAGTGTGCCCTCCCCAGAAGGATGGGTTTGTAGCACTGAAGGGTTTAGAACAACTTGGGCACAAGCCCTCTGGCCTTTTAAAAAAAGGGATGACTGACTACCTCTGCCTTTAAGGTCCTGCTGTGTTCTGAGCACGGCTCTCCAAGGAGGCAAGGAAAGAAGGACCAGACACACCTGGAGCAGCGTGTTCGGCACCTGCAGAAATTCAGTGCAAACCGCTGAGGAAACTTCAGGGCTGAGCAACAGCTGCAGTGAGGGGTTACAGGTTCACAGTTTTGGACTGCCAGGCTTCAGTGATACATAGCTCCCCTTTAGGACCTGCCCTAAATGACAAAATCTCCTCCCAGGGGCCTAAACACAGCTGCTTAGAGGGAAGTGCAGCCCCGAAGCCGGGCTGATAAGCAAGAAGCGTGTGTGATTCTGGAACTCATGGCGCCTACTGAGAGAGCAGTTTTGCTCCTAAATTGAGCAATGCTGTTGCTCTGCTGACTGAAACACACTTGCAATACTTCATAGCTTCCTCTGAGTTTCTAACAGTCTCCTGGGCCTTAACAGCACAGCAAACAGTGACTCACTAATCTGGCAGAGTACAACCATTGTAGGCTCCCTATTCACTTAGTTTTTCTTACCTTTTCCCTAACCCACCACTGAATTTTCCTTTTATTTTATCCCCAATCTCACACACGGACACAACACATCAGTTTATTGCATTTTGTGAAACTTTCTTGAAAGTGCCCTTTCAACGTGTTCTATATATTATAAATTGTCCTTACCATGCATTGCAGTGTATGTGTTTTGTGATGAGGAATGGAGTCCAAAAGGAGCCCAAAGCGAGTTAAGCCAGAGACGCAAATAATTTCACATAAAATGCTATAGCTCCCCTCTCATTAACACAGTTTACTGTCCAGTTGGTTGATAGCTGTGCAAACCAGCCACTCTGTGGGTAATCAGGCTCATGAAATGGATGTGCTTATAACGACTGTGAGAAACCTCTTTGGTGGCTGGGAATATGGAAAGGAATTTTCTTTGAACTCCATTAGGTCCTACTTGTGCTTTGGTCAACATCAGTTATCCTGCTGTGCATGTGAACTTTGTTATTGCCTTGCTTGACTTTCACTTAATCTTCCTGCAGTGCTGAAGAAGACAGGATATCTGGAACTGAAAACAATTATTCTTATCTCCTACTGCTTTCATAATTACATGAAGTTCCCATTTGAAGAGCTGCATTCCTTGTGTGGACATGTGCTTTTAATTAGCAGAGGGATGCATCACACCACCAGAAGCCAATTCCTCAACCTTGCATAAGTTGGTTACAGAACCTCTGAATCTTTGGCCACCGTGGCAGCTTTCTGGCCAAGTCGGGGGAAGCGTGGGAGCAAACTCCAGGCACTGTAATTTCACCATAACCAGGATTTTTATTAGAGACTATTGCAGTAGCATGCAGCAGATTCAGCTGAGATTAAGTTCAGAATAGGAATGGTATCTTTTCTTGGTTTTCCACTTGCACTGAGTCACTCAAATTTACAGGGCTCAAAGACATGAAGGGAAATGCAGACAAAAAGATGAAAAAGTGACTAGTCCAAGTTAGTGGATAGTGTCAAGAGACATTTTCATTTCATTTGCTTCCTTTCTCAGTAAATAGGGTATAAAGAGCATACACTGTTCCCTCTGCAAATGGTCTGTCTAATAAACATGGAGTGTTTCAGCCAGCTGTTATTGACTCGCCAACAGCAGAAAGAAAGTTATGAGTTCTAAACTAAGCTATACAAGCCACTGGCTGAATTACTTCCTGTCTGATGAGTCTTTCTGTGTCCTGCTTCACTGCAATCCTTAGGACTAAATTGATACACAAGATCTATCTAAAATACTGCACAAAGTTAAAATCCACAGCTTTTCTCCTACATAATAGATGACTTCTACGAAATTTACAGTAAGTCAAGTGTCTGACCTAAAGGGTAGTTAAAAAAGGAAAAAAAAGAATCATTGCAGTAAGACCAGTTCTTACTGTTCCCACAAAAGAGAGCTTTTCATATATATCATCTGCTTAAGCATCACCTGCTAAAGGAAATGTTTAGAAATATTTCTACATCCATGTAAACAAGTTAAGAAAGTAGAGGGTGTGGTAGTGATAACAATTTACCAAACCAAGTGAAGATCTAAACAGGCTGTCTTATCTTTTGAATGAGTTATTTTAGGTCATGCAGGTAATGGTGAAATCCCTTCCTTCCTACAGAGAAGTTCAAAATTACCCCTCTTTCCTCAGGGCCAGGTAAATAGGTTGCACCTCTTTATCTCCAGTTTATTTGCACTGGGAGTGCGTTACTTTCCAGAGAAACTGTGGCTAAAAGACGGAAATCAAAAGCAATCATGGCCAAATGAAAGAGATGGGTTCTGACACCAGGAGTCCAGAACAATTATCTACCAAAGGTAAAAAATACTTTGTATCAGAAGGCAGAAAAACTGCAGAACTCCAGTTACCCTCTGAATCCTCTTCTATTTGGGTGGAACTCTATTGAAACTAGGTACTCCATACAGAAACAGTCATAGTTTGGGGTTAAATTCAACTCTGTGAAGAAGGCCATAATAAACCAGTATTTAATAGCCACTTACAACATATGACAGCTCAAGCAGTGCATGTTTTGTGCTAGTTCTTTGTTAAAAATCACCCTAGGTGACACTCCCTGCCTGAATACTTAGGAATAAAAACACATATAAAATAGATATAAACATATATAAACACATATAGACTATATAAAATATATAAAGGTTTTGATGTAGCAGACAGGCTATATTTTCTGTGTACTCTAAGAATGTTGAAAAAACAAGATTTCCCTTTGACTCATACAAGAGAGGAAACTATAGACTGCCTCACACATGCATGGCTGTGATAGGAGATGCTGTTGTTACTTCTCAGCTTTTTGGATGAAGAATTATCTTCTTGCAAACTGTAAAAGTCATGAAACAATTAGTGAGAAAGGCTTTTACATGGTGCAGTCAATAAAGCAAGAGCAGCAGAAGCTTATAATTGCTTTGGCTGTGTATACTAGAAATGCAAATATACAAATTGTATAAATGGTAGGGCAGGACTATTCAGCAGTTTTGCAAAGTTTTTGGAACGCACGGAGTAAAATGGAATTACAGTAGTATATAAATATCTGCACAGCAGTTGAATTCATCAAAATCCCACATCTTTAGTTCATCTTCAAGAATTTTTCAAAGTGCACCAGTGCCACACAGAGACAGATAGAGGAAAACACAATATAGCTGGGAACATTCTCCCACCTATGGATGCCCATATCCAAAACAAACAATGAAAACATCAATGTGGTATTCATTGCTGGTTTCACTTCTGGCCACATATGATTTTCTGATGTAGGAGCTGTCCAGTTTCCTGGTTTTGTTCTATGCCACAGAATTCACTGGATTGCCCACCACTGATTGCAGTAACAGAAAGGGTAGGTGTTAGTGGGGAACTCATACAGATTTATTTCCATTCTAAAAAACAGGTGAAAGATTTAGATACATTCATGCCACTGATAGCCCAAATCAGCAAGTTGCCTTGAGGTGTATTTCCCACTCAGAGCAGCAGCAGCTAGATAGAATCATAAAATCACAGAACGGTTTGGATTGGAAGGATCCTTAAAGATCATCCCATCTCATTCCAACACTCTGCCATGGGCAGGGACACCTTCTACTAGACCAGGTGCTAAAAGCCCAGTCCAACCTGTCCTTAAACACCACCAGGGATAAAAAGCTAAACCTTCCCATACCAGAAAGCCTGGCTGAAAATCAGGTATGCTAACTACTACACTATAGGTAACTAACCTGAAGCCTGAGATCCACCAGGTATGTAGATGGGCACTTTTGAAACTCCCCCTGATTGCCCCCAAATATTTTCACTTAAATGGTATTTGGGTCCCTGTTCCATGTGTGGGACTGGATTTTGCTGTATCCAGGCTGCCTTTGGGTTCATGCTCCCAGACCCAGCTGGCCTAGCACAGTTGCTGTCCCACAGTGTTGGGGCAGAGAAGTAGAAAATCAGTCCTGAACTCATCCCAGCCTACAGTCACTACCCAGCTGAGAAGATTCTAAAGGACTTGGGTTCAAACTTCAGCTTCTATCCCTAAGCTAAGGGTAATACATGGAAATACAAGTGATAAATAATAACAATTACGTAAACATACATGAAAACAGAAAATAAACTCTGAGAACAGCTTGTGCTTTCTTAGTAATCACCACTCCTTATTTACCAAGAAAAAAAGGTCACATAGTAATGCCTTTTTTGAAAGCTTTTGTCCCTAGAGTAGCCTTGTGAGATAAATCTTTTTTTCCATGAAAGTGCTGGGGAAACAGGGAGTGGTCAGGCAGCTGAAGCCAACTTACTGATGCCATGTAGACAACCACATAATGCAAAACATTGACCCTAAAATAATAGGTAATATGGAGCTGTGATCACTTCAGTCCTTTTGCACAAACAGGGAGATCATGTAATCTCACAGGCACGTGCCCTTGCTGCATGTTAAAGATCAGTTCTTGACTCACAACTCCTCCTTTTTCATACTAGGTCAAATTCACCTCTGTGCAAACAAGAGCCACAAGCTCTTTCAGTTTCACTGAGCCCTGTTTCAGAGAAAGAATGGGACTTAAAAGTGAGACAGCAATCTGATAAAAGCTTTGCTAAAGTAAAGAAATATTTCTGCAAGAAAAACTAAATTAGTCTCACCTTCAGGCCATTGCCTCATATTCCATTTTAAAGACCAGCTCCTCAGCTGGGTGGGCAGCAGAGCTTCACTCAAGGCAACTTAGCCAAGAAATTACTCATAAGGGATCAGCCATAAGAAATGTATTGCCTTGATATTTGGAGAACCAGCTGGCTCACTGAGAGCATGCCACTTCATGTTTAAAGAAAGAACAAAAATAAGCCAAAATATTTATATATATTATATCAATATTATTAATAATAATACACATAAGATTACTACCAAAAAATTAAAGAACTGAAATGTTTGCCTAATAGTCTCAGTGGGGAGGTGAGAGCAGGTGAGATATGAGCAGATATTTATTATCATTACTGACATTATTTTATAAAGATGGTACAGGTCAAGTTCTGTACCTCATCAAATTTACATACTGGGAGGAAGTTTGTGAGATCCAATTTTGCCTTCTGCCAAAATTCTCTCTCCAAAAGTTTTCTGGACTGTGCAAGGATGAGGGTCAGCCTGTATGTCCAAACCAGTCAGCCAGAAATCCTCATGCTCTGCTTGCAAACCAATTGACTGGAACCGGAAAGGACAGCTGACATAAGTGAACTCTTTGTCAAAGAGCTCAGCCACTTGGCAGGGGAGCTAGAAACACTACATTATTCCAGCCTTGCACAGAGGTTACCACCAAATACATTGGGTGGTGCTGCCAGTCAGTAGGTTTGATGACATCCCACTGCTCAGAGCTGCTTATTTTGTTCTGAAGACACAGTGTTCAGCAGGAAAATCTCACAGGGATTAGAAGAATAAAGCTGTAACGAAAACAGATTTACAGCTCCTGGGAGAAAACCTGCCGCAGCCACATTTTGAAGGCTTTAATGCTTGGCTGAGTGTGATAGGTAGTGTCACTGCAGAGGCCAAGCAAGATGCAAAATGTGTCCCTGCCAGTGGATTCCTCCTGCCTGGGAGCTCATCCCAGTGGAAGTTTTCTGTCGCCTTCCATCCTGTGCAGCCCAGTGCAGCCCAGTGCAGCCCAGCGCAGCCCAGCCTGCCACGGGCCAGAGCCTGCTGCCCCTCCTCTCTGCCAGGCTGCCTGGGCCGCGCTGCGGTGCCAGGGCCACGCTCACCTGCCAGGCAGCTGTGCAGCAGTTCTGGCTTCTTTATATAACCCTCTCATGTGTACGGCCCATGAAGAAAACTGCCTGTCAAAATGTGAAGACATACAAAAATACACGTGCCGATAGTGTTCAATCTGTGTCTTTGGGGAGCACCCCAAAGGGAAGGCCCTGACCATCACACCCACGGGCCCGTCCCCGCTCTGGCACCAGGCTCGTGTCACACACACTCAAAGGCACGACCACCGAGACCCCGCCTAACCCGAGTGCGCACGGAGCGCACCTGCAGGGCAGGGAGGCCCCATGAACCCGCCGTGACCCCCGAGCCCGCTCCCCCGGCCCCGCAGCCTCGGCGGGCCCGGCCCCGGGGCGGAGCGGGGCGGGCCGAGCGGGGACAGTACCCAGCCGGAGCTTGAGCCCGCCCGGCCGCCGCCGGCGATGGCGGGGCCGCCGGAGGTGGAGGGAGCGGTGGGGATGGCGGCGCCGCCGGAGGTGGAGGAGCCTTTATCGCGGGGCTTCTCGGAGGAGCAGTTTGGGGCCGCCTGCCGGGAGCTGGACCAGCCGGCGCCGGCCGCGGCGGGGCCCTGGCAGCTCCTGGTGGAGACCATGGGCGTGCGGATCTACCGGCTGTACCACGAGGTGGGCGGGCTCCGGCTGCGCCGCCCGGGGCGGCCGGGGGGCGGTGGTGACGGGGGGCGGTGTGTCGGTGGATAACGGGGATGAGGGCCCCACACGACCCCGCCCGCAGCCGCGGGTTCCCCGCACAGGCCTGGGCTCGGTTTCTTCAGGCTCGCAGAAAGCAGCTTTCCTGGTAATGCCATTAAGTGCTGATGGGAAAGCTGCTGGGCCGCAGTGACCCCGCGGAACCGAGCTTGTGAGCAGCTGGGCGGGGAATTGCCGGGTGTTCGATGTGCCACCCTCCCGAGCCCCTCGGAGGGGGTTTGTGGTCACGGTGTCCCTGAACATCTGCTCCCGAGCCCCGCCCGTGTCAGAGCATCCTCTCTCCAGGAGCCCTCCCCTTCCTCCCTGCCTCCAGAACTCCCTTCATTGATTCTCCACCCTTTGCCCTCTAAAATCAGGAGGTAGTTCAGAAAGGGTTGGAATTAAATTCTTCCCTTTTTGGGTGACTAACTTCTTTAAAGAACTTCCGTAGTTTAGGAACTGATGTGTGATTGACAGTGTTTCCATTTTGACACAGATTGATTATTCAATACTGACTTCTAAATCCGTATATAAATACCCTGTTTTTTTAACTGAGTGATCATAGTTTCCTCTCAGCTCCTTCTGGACTTCATGCTGTTCTTTGCATGACAATTTTGTGTTTGTATTCTGAGAAGTCATTTCAGACATGGTGATGTTGGAAAAAACCAGCAAGCATAGAGGGCTGTGCTAAAGTCACAATGGGGTGGGGAAGGACTCTTTAAAGAACCATCACTTCACAGACCTTGGAATTTTCTTTAGTGAAAATAAACATCACTGTTTCCAGTGTGGATGTGGTGACTGGCAATGGCAAGATGAGCTCATCAGTGGGTGCACACAGCCTGGGTGAGGCTGGGGTGCCTGCCAGGTATCCATGCGAGAATCAGTGAGTTGATGCAGTTCAGGGTGCTGGGGGTGTTCCTGCAGGAGTGGATGAAGTAGAGGCTTTAGGATCAGAGCTCAACCCAGACCTGTAAATGCATTATGCAGTGCATGAAGGCAAAGGAACTTTGGGAAGCTGGAGGCTGGATTTAGCCAGGCACATGGGATCAGGGAAGCCATGGTTTATTGCAGTGGCTGTGCTGCTGTTGTATGAACGAAGCTGGTGAGATGGAAAGTATCTCAGGCTTCTCTTCCTCATCCTCTTGTGCTTTTATACAGAAGGACTGTAGAGCTAAAGAACTATTTGAAACAAAAAAATACTATTTACAGGTGTCTGTCATTTTTAATGTAGTGTGCCCCTAGATTGGGCTGGATGAACAGACTACATAGGATGCAAGGGACCTTTTCAAGTCCAATCTTATGACTCTTCTGGGAAATAAATCTCCTGTTTTATCTTTCAGTTGCTTCAGATTGCTGCAAGAGAAGATGAAGTCTAGAAGTAGGGTCTTTGTTTAAAGTTGTTACTGGAAAAATTAGCTTTTGGCACTTGCTGAACTGCAGCTCCCCTGTAGCAACAGTAGTCCAGGAAGCTGAAAGCAGCAATTATTCTTCCTGTTGCCTTCTCTTTTTGCCTTGCCTTTCCACCTTCTCTGCAGGCTGCAGAAATAGATCTGGGCCTTCCTGTTCAGTGCTGCTTTCCAGCCAAGCTGATTGACTCTCCTGATGACACATCTCAGAAAAACAAACATGTCACTCTTATTTTTAACTTTCTTACTGTAAAATGCTGTTTTTCTCGTGAGAATAAAAATGTTGATGCCTCTTAGAAAGATGATGAGTGCATGGGGTTACACAGATGCTGAATAGTTCAGGTTTGAAGCTAGTGATTGGTCCTTCAGTGAAGCCAAAATGAAGATGAGTAGCTTAAGCTTCTTGCTCACATTACTGTTTTCTGGTACTTCAAATCCTCATCTTCTGGAGTTGATTTGTGAAGGTGAGGAAAAGAAAATTCACCTATTCACTAACAAAATGTTGTATAATCCTTCTTTTCCTTTCCTTGGAAATGCTTTGATTTGATTTCTACACTGTAAATATTAAATACTGCCATTGTTTTAATTCAGTCCTGAACTGTCATTGTTTTAATGTAGTCCTGAACTCATACTAACAATGGTACAAACATTGCTCTATAGGCACAGAATTACCATATGTTGAAAGTAACATTAAAACAGGAGATATCCTGCACCCCACCCCTTCAGTGCATACAGCTTTCTGAAAGAAAATAGCTGATAAATATTCAAGGCCGATATGAGTGCACTCGTGTAAGCGTGGACATTGTAAAGCATTCTTGTATCCCAGCCTGATGTGTAAGCATAACTAACTTGCCACAAGAATTTAATGCTTCTGGTAAACCTCAGTGTGGGCAGGACTTAGTCCACGCTGGCCACTGGAGATGAAAAGGGGACTGTGTTTGTGAAGAAATGTGCTCCCTCTGGAGCTCCTGATGAAGTAAAAGGGTACTGGTGTAAGGGAAGGAACAGCCATTGTGCAGGGCAGGTCAGCCTGGCTGCATTTACACTTTCATGTATAGATCAAAAAGTCGAGAGGTTAAAGACTGAATCTTATATTGTTTTCTGAGCACTTGCTTTCACAGCTCTTGAGCATATTTGTAATTTGTGCCCCACCTAACTTCCTTCAGCTGTTCTCCCTGATGCAGAGTGCTTCCCTTTCCTGTGTGACTTTTCCTCTCTTCATTCTGTTTCCACAGCAATCAGGACTTTATGAATATAAAATCTTTGGTGGTCTTGCTGACGTTCCCCCAAAATTGTGTGCAGATGTCTACATGGACTTGGATTTCAGAAAAGAGTGGGATCAGTATGTTAAAGGTAAGCTCATCTGGGCAGTGTAAAAGCAAGCTGGAGTCCACATTGATTGTTCCCACTAAAACTTCCCTCAAAGGTATTTCGAAGTTACTGCCTCCAAAGACTTTGGGTCAGACTTAAATATCTTTTGGGATAATGTTGCACTGTGCAAATACACAAGTAAACACTGACAGGGAATCTCTAATGTCTCAACAGTATTTATCTTTCCTCTGGAATGAATTCTTTCCATGTTGCTTAAAGCATATGATTGACATCACTGGTTATGCTGGAGCACCTTGTAACTTCTAGCTGTAATGCTAAGGTTAAATTTTAGTAGATGTCTTGGGGGTGGTACCTTTGTGCATCTTTGCATATGGCAGTGGAGCAGTGCATCATGGAATAGCAGGTTGGAAGGGACTTGGGGGATCATCTGGTCCAAACTTCCTTGGTGAGAGCACAGTCAAGACAAGATGGCACAACACCCTGCTCAGCTGAGTCTTAAAATTTGTCCTTGGGGAGATTATTTCAAAGGCTAATCTCATGGTGAAAATTTTTCCTCGTGCTTCCACCATTTCGATGCATGATGCATGATGGAATATCTTTTCCTGAAAGCATGGGTTGTTCTTGGCACCTTTTACAGTCAGGAATGGGTGCATTGAGAGAATGCGTGGTAACTTCAGGCTTTTACAGAGAAAGTAATAACTAATTTAGATAAGTTTATTTAATGTTGTTTTTGAAAAAGAGTGTTAAACCTGGATATCCATATGGTGTTAAAGCATCTTAAGTCAGCAGTAACAAGGTAAAGGTTCAGCTGATGTATATATCTAGTAATCCATTTGTTTTAAAGATGGGGAACCTTTTCTTTTTGAGCCCGTGCTTGAAGTCAGAGCAGGCCAGTAAAACTGAAAAGTGGCCTAAGTGTTTTGCTGAACAAAGAGCAGTGTTAAAAACCAAAGACTTCTTAAATGCTCTTCTTGTTAGGTTTAGGACAGCTCCACCGTGAATAATTGCTGATAATGCCAGTGCTGCATTGATACAAAGACCTGTAAATTTAACTCATGTCAGTCTTGGTCAAATTTAAGGAATAGTGTCTTCATTAAGAAGTGTTAATTGTCAAAATGCTCAGTAGCTTTCTTGTAGCAAAAGCCATTTTGCCATTAATGAAACAAAGAGTCAGAGCGGGGACTCAGCATTATCGTATTGGATGTAAAAATACTCTTGAGTTACTTCAGTAGTCTTTAAGTGCATTTAGGAGAAATGAATGCTTTTTAAATAAACACTTCTTTTTTTTTTAAATTCCTTCATAGAGAAAAGAAAGGAAGCTGCTGGGGGAAGCTACACCCTTAAACTAAAAACTAGATAATGTTGTAGAGCTGACATTTATATCCTTGCTGACCATGGTTTGTTCATCTGTTAATTTATACTTGTGCTGGTGCTTTAAGTCCAGCATTTCACAGAAATTAACTCTTAGAGGGCATAAATATAACATAATGCTTTCCTTCCTGCTTAAAAATTGATACAAGCCCACTTGTTTTTTGGGATGATATGTATGATGAAAGTGCTAGCCAGTGTTTTAAATGTAACCCCAGTTCAGCCTGGGTTTTTTCTTTCACACTGGGGAAGAAACCCCAGAAAACTTCCTTTGAGAGCCTTCTTGCTCTTGGTGTTACTGTTTTTATTCCTTGGTGCTCTTACAGCCATGCAAGTGGCAGTCCAAAGGAGAATTCTCTGCTGAACTGCGGGCTGGCATTGAAATAAAAACCTGACCAGAGAAGAAGTAGCTGCCTTTTTAGCTGAAAAAGCAACTGCTTCTGCACGCTTCCGAATATGCACAAGATGTGGACATCCTGAGGCCTGGTTTGTGCTGCAGCTGCCAGTTCAGCAGGGAAGTTGTGACTGAGCTGTAGTGACTGAGGTACCACGTGCTTCTGTGGCATGATGCAAAATGGCTGGGCCTGAGCAATACTGAAACTTGCTAGTCCTGATTGCAGCACCTTCCTCACTGAGATCAGACTTCCCAACAATTCCACAGTAATGACTGGCTGTTGAAGCAGTAAGTGCTGCTATGCCTCTTATGGATAGAATGGATTTGTGATCTCTTGTAGTGATGCTAAATGAAATAAGATTATTATTAAAATGCACTGTATTCTGGTTTGACGTGAATGCAGGTGGGATGTGGTTTATGTATTGTGTGTTTTTGCTGTGTTTGCAAAGATACACAGGTAAATGAGGTAGCTAATAACAGTTGTATTGGGGTCTTTAAAACAATGTCATGGTGCCTTTGTAAAAGGAAATCTCTGTGGTTAGGAGTGAAAGTTAAGTGACTAATCCAATGCTCCAGTGACCTCTGGTGGAAAACATAAATGTTGTGGGTTATTACAACACCAGGTGCATCCAGTACTGCTCCAGCTGGAGAAGAGAAGCTGTTTCCGTGGGTGACAGCTGATCTGCAGGGCATGCCAACAGAAACCTGGTTTGGAATATATTATACAGGGAAAGAATCTCCCATCTGGGGCACTGTTCTTGTCTTGTCAATGAGATTATCAGTTTATTCTGGCCTCACTTTCAAAAACCTGGCTGTGGGGGATATAGAGCACCTCAGGCACAAGTCTGTTGTAAAGGAAGAGAAGATTACTGTGACTGTTAAGGTGAGCCACCTTTGTGGATCACACTGTTCCTTACTGCAGACCCTGAGCCAGCAGGAGTTCACCCTGGCTCAGCCCCGTGGCTCGTCAGGTCCATTGCCCTCTTAGTGGCAGTTGCTGCCCCAGGGAAGGAAGCTGTGCTGTAGGTAGGTTTTCAAACTCGATTATGTGGTTTGATTAGAACTGATTTTTCTCCTTCATGCCAGACTACTCTCCAACTGAGTCACTGCCATGTTTTAGGCACTATTCTTAGGTTACTTTTTTTTCACATTCTGCTGCCTTCTGATTTGAGTTTCCAGGCAGACTGAAGGTGGTGTAATGAAGACTCATAAACTGCTCAAGGTTCTAGTTAGCTGTTGCATGTATGTACTGCTGTGAAATTCCTGACAGCTTTTCCAAAATTCATTAATCCCTCATGTAAGATGTCTTCAGGTGTTAGAAAGCTGCACTCATCCTAGTTCCATGTTAATTCAGTATAATTTACAAGGGTAATGACATGCCTGTGAAAAAGCACATTGTACTCGTGACTTAGACTTGTGCAGAACATGCACAGGTAAGGAAAAAGCTTTGAGATGGAAAGGCTTTGAATGAGCAGACTGTTGGAAAATGAATTTAATTCTGTTTCCCCCATAATTGTTCTGATTTTATGTTCTGGGGTTTTAAAATTTTTTTTCTGTTTTTTCCCACCAATTAATCCAATAGCCACAGAAAAACAGGCCACCTATTTTTGTGTATTTGATTCCTGAACAATCCTGGTACAGAACTTCTTAACGTCCCTTACTGGTAAAATTCTACATACATACCAATTTTGACATCAGGGTTGCATGTAAAATGTGTTCGTGTCCGAAATCTGAGCAGTTCTTGATGCCGTCTGTATTTCTGTTGCAGTAGAAATTAAAAATATCTAACAGTCTTCTTCTTTCAACCGTAGAACTGTATGAGGAAACATATGATGGTGAAAAAGTAATCTACTGGGAAGTGAAGTACCCTTTTCCTCTCTCAAACAGAGATGTATCCTTCCAAGTTTTTGTTCCTCTTGCAGTTTTTGCCACTTGGTCATCCAGGAATCCCAGCAATGAACTGATTCCATCACTCTGCTGCACTGATGTAAGGTCTTGCAGTACTTGTGTTACAGGAATATGTATGGCATGAAGAGGAGTGTGGGTGCCTCTTCCCACAAAGAGCTAGAGCTCCCGTAGCTGAATTACTGCTCTGCAGGATTCAGTCCTGTAGGGACATGAGAAGTAACTTGAAGGAGGGGCTATTTGTGATGGAATTCACTTGTCAGCTCCTCATCCCTCAAACTGACATTGTTTTGACATGCCTCCTCAGCTTGCAGTGCAGTATGTGTATATCCGGGAATGCCGGGAGATGGATGTGCATGGCAGGAAGATCTGGGTTGTGTTAGCAAAAAGTGTGGCTGTTCCTCAGTGCCCTGAGAAGCCTGGTATTATCAGAGTGAAGAGCTATAAACAAAGCCTGGTAATTGAAAGTGATGGCAAGGCTGGATGTAAAGGTAAGAGGTCAAGAAAATGTGTGACAGGTTGTGTAGCCAGGGAGTGTATATATTAGCAAAACACACAAAGAGGGGGGCTGGAAATTTTAAGCCAAGGGTTACTTTAAAATGAATGAAACCTTTGGAAATGTCCAGTTCAGTGCACTACTGAGAAGAATCTTCTTATTTAGCAGTTGGGCTGAGTGGTTAAGAATAGTCTACTGCCCACTTCCTTCTGCCCTCCCATCTCACCCCCAGTCTGTACTTCTTTTCCTGCCAGACAGTTCAGCTGGGGAGACTCTGCTGCAATTTTCTTAACTCAGCAATGATTCAAGTGTTGTGTTTGACAGATGTATAGATTAAAGGGTTTGCCTAGAGCTTGACTTCTGTCGCAGGTTAGTCTTTTAAAGACAGTCTTATTTTATAAGACAGGGTGCCAAAATGGTTTACAGTAATCTAAATGCCTGTTGTGGCTCTGTCAGCTTCCCAGGGGTTAACAGGCAATGCATGTATTTACTTCACATTTCACTTCAGGACAAGTTGAATTTTTTGTGCAGAATTTAGAGTATAATTGTTGCAGTTGGTGCTTCAGTGATGCACACTGACAACTTCTGTCACTGTGTGTTAGAGCTGAGTCTCAGGTAACTGGTATCTGGTAACTTCTCTCTCTCTCCTCTGTAGTCTATATGTACTATTTTGATAATCCTGGTGGCATGATTCCAACCTGGCTGGTCAACTGGGCTGCCAAGGTAAGGAAAGGATACAGATAATGGTCTCTGGCTAATCTGTTTCAAGCAGTGGATTCACTGCAGTCATACCCATCTTCTATGTTTTGGGCAGAATTAATTTTTTCTGAAACATATATTGGCCTTCCTAGCTTTTACACAGTCCCATATTTATAGTCTCACCATGACAATGGTCTTAATTAATTTACTTATTTTAATTCCTGTCAAATTCCTTTGGTTTGTCAACCAGGCAGGTAAATTTCTGCAGCAAACCCCAAATAATCTGTGTTTCAGAGCATGTATGAATAGCCTCATGACAAGCAAATTTCAATGATGCAGTTTGTTCCCAAAGTATTCGAGGAGGGGCTTGATGCTATGTACCAGATCTTAGACTTGTATCTTAGACAATTGTAAATTAGATCTTAAAACTGTATCTGTTTGAAGTCCTTGCATTATTTAATGGGAATTGCCATCTTACTTATAGTTTTTATTGAATTCATTATGCAAGAATAACTTTTCTGCCTTTCTCTTTACAGAGTGGTGTGCCTGCTTTCTTGAAGGATATACAAAAAGCTTGCCTTAATTATTCTAAGAGTACAAATTTATCTTAATCATTTAATTCCTAGATCTCTTACATGAGCAGATGTTATATATCACACTGGATAAAGTCTACCTCTAATATTGGAAAGAATGAAAGAATTTTATTTTAGTTGATTTATGCCTTGAGTTTTATTAGATTTTTTTCTACTGAAGAGCTGGCAAAGTAGCACCAATATCAGCTGCAGCTTTTGAAAGTACTCAAGTTTAGCCTTGTTCCCCATGCTTTGCTTATGCTGGTTGTCAGGTGTCAGCTAGAGGAGTTCTGTGCTGGGTATGTTACATCTTTGCAAAAGAGACAACAATCTTCCTAGAAAAATATCTGAACTTGCACTGCAGATTATCTGCATGTGTTATGCCTGGATTTGCTTTTGCTACCCAAGTTTGACATTCTTAAACTCTCTGCCTGATATAAACCTGAAAAATGCTGAGGGATGAGGTAAATTACTCGAAATGTGCAGTAGGAAGTCTGTGATGCTAAGGTCCCTTAAATCCAGATGTAAAAAGATCAAGCCTAAAGCCTTGCATTCACAGCTCTATACTTCTGTATGAAATGTAAAAACCTTTAGCTGTGTCCAGCTAGAAGAAAAAGGAGCTGCAAAATACTTCTTGCATGTCTGATTTAAGGGGAACAAGTTTTATCTTCAGAGTCAGTAATCTTACCTATAAAGCAGCTTGGATACCAACTTGAAACTGGAGGTAATTTTAAACCAGGTGCCTGCCACCGAATGTGGATGAGCTTGGTGTGGAACTTGGGCTTGCTTGCATTTTTAAATTTCATGCTGATATAAAGACTGGATATAAAAGCTTAACTGAGCAGGAAATTAAATTTCCAGCACCTTTTCTGGGGGGGTGGGGGGGTGGGGAGGAGGGACAGGGAGTGCATAAAAGAATGAGAGAACATAATTCTCAGGGATTTAAAATATTCAACATTTTTCCTAAATCTAATTCTGTTTCTGAATAAGTCTGGTAATGGAGTAGGTTTGTGTTGTTAAAAAACAAACAATTGAAATGACGCCTTTACACCTTGTGTGAATATTTCCAATAAATCATTATTTTGTCCAAGTAGTTCTGTCTCCTAGTTGTTCTGTCTCCTAGGTTTAAGAGATCCAGGCTGGGCAGGCCACAAATGACAGGCTGATACCGTGAGCTGCCTTACTTTTAAAGGATTTTGAAAGAAAAGTTGGATTAGAACTAAGCAGGATTCTTGTGTTCTGCCAGCAGTTCAGGCATTTTTCAATGTTTGACTTGGAGACTGTCACTGGATTGAATATTACAGTGTTACACAACATGATATAACAAAATTTTAGAAGGAGACTGAGGATGAATCTTCCTGGAACAATGATGTAGACTAATTAATTTCCAGTTTCTTTCTGAACGAAACTGACCTCTGTGCCACAATAGTCCAAAACTTACCTGTAATTGTAAACCTACCTTAAACCTTGAGTTTAAATGTTTACAAGCAATGTGTACCTAGTAAGCTGAGTATGTGCACAGAGATTAATCATGTACAAAAGAGGTCATTTTTTCATTCTTTTTCTCCAGACAATCTAAGTTTGTTTAGTCTTTAAGGAAGTGAAAGCAGGAGGAAGACTGAAAGCATTTTATAATCAAGAATTCACTTTATCTTAGTTCCTTGTCACCAAAACAGGGTATCCATGTGTGTGCAGTGTGCTGAGACACTGAGGCTGAGAGCTCAGGAGGTTGAATGGCTCCATTGTCAATCCAGCTGAAAATTTGATTTCCTGCACACCCTGCACTGAGCTTGTAGAATACACAGCCTGTGCTCACATATCCATGCTGAAACCATTGCACAGGCAGCTTCTTGTGCTATGCACAACTTTCTAAATTAAAACACGTTTGATTAAACAGCAGATACTAAACCCGGCTTTTCCACTGTTTACAAGCAACTAAGCAATGATGTGAGATGAAAGCAACATCAGATCTTGTCTTTAGTTCCCTGTGGGCTTTTAAAATAACATCAATATGCAGTGACACTTCAGTTTAAGTCTGGGTTACTACACCCATCTTGTACTACTAGGGAAGAAAAGTTCCAGCCTGTGTGATGAGGCTTCATATTTGGATGGAAGATTGTGACTAGAAAGAGTTGGTATTTTCAGTCTTTGGATGTAAATACATTCTTAAATAATTTTAAAGCATTATTAATGACTGATTAAATATTGATCTTTCATAAATTATACATGTATCATGTGAGCCTTTCTGCATCACATGAGCAGGAATTTACCTGCAGTGAAAGTTGTTAAGTCACCATGCATTGTGAATTCTGGTGCACAGGGCTACAAAACATGAAACCTCCTTCCCTTGCTATTTTTTAATGTAGCACCTCAAAGCTGGTTTTGTTTCACCAGCTTGCCTAAAACTGGAGTGTAAAGTTAGTTCTTTTAGTGATCTGTCATAAGCAAGTGATTGTTTGAATAAAAAATGAATTAACATTTCTGTTAGGTGATGGCTGAGCCTCTCATCTTCTCTATCCCACCCCAATTAACAGATTGGGAGGTATCACACTACAGATTAACAAGGACTAATGAAGTTTTCTCAGCAGCCAAATAGGACTAGAAAAATCCTGTAGTTTCAGTCAACAAACAGGCATCTGCTCCAGAGTGCAATATCAGAGTTTGTATGAATCATATGGATCTATTCTTATATAGAACTTCTGTTCTAAATTTAGCAGCTCTTCCTGAAACATGTTTTGGCATGTTCTTCACAGAAAGAAGTGGTGGTTTTTTGAAATGAGTGGCTCCCTGTCCCGTTTCCATAAGGAATGATGCTGTAACAGAATGAATATAAACCATTCCTCCACAATGTGTTCCAGCCATTCAAATCCATTCTTTCCATGCAATCTCTCTGTAAAATGGATGTATTTGAGTTGGAAGGTAAAGCGAGGGAAAGATTCTCAGTAATCCAAAGTCAACACAGAGAATGATGTCAGATTCACAGTCACTGGTGCTGCCTCTTAGAAGATGATGTGCAAAGGGAAACACAAGTTGTCTTTGCTCAGGAAACAACTTGTGTCACTTCTCAAGCAGGTCATCGTCTGTTTTATGGTTTAGTGGAACAAAAACTGTGGGAAGACAGGGGGTAGACTGCTGATGCTAGTCCATGCTGGGAGATGATCTATCTTCCCAGCAACAATTTAGCTTCCCATTATGTCAGTTTTCTATGTACAAAGAACTTTTTCAAAAGGGATCTAATGATACTTAAATGTCACTCAGCTGAGAGTGATTTCTCCCTGAGCACATATTTGCCTTCCTCTATCAAGATGATAATTCATAACCAAATTTATTGTCTCACTGTAGTTCTCTGATCAAACTACTACACTTTCAGATAAAAAAACTTTGTTTTCACTCAGTTAAAAAACACTGAAAACTTCCATAAAAGTTAGTTTCCAAAATAGAAAAGAAGGCTTGTGTCAGGAGCAGAGTTGTTATAAATGCAGATGGACTGCATGAAAGATGAATACTTTTTGAGGAGCAATAAAAAAGAACAAATGTAGAAATGTGCCCCCTGTTGACGCGGTGGCAAAACTATCCTTAGTTTCCAAAATAGAAAAGAAGGCTTGTGTCAGGAGCAGAGTTGTTGTTCCTTTGTCCCCTTAAAAAGGAAAGAAGCCCAGAAGTTTCTCTCCTGGGTTAGGTGAAAAGCCACCTCACGGGCCTAGGGGACTTCACCTCAGACTTAAGGATAGCTAATTGGACAGAAGCCAAAAAGTCCCACCTGGGCAATTTACTAGAAAAAGAAGAGAACAAAGAAACTAATGGCTTTTGTGAGGTGTTTTACCAGTAGCAAGAACCTCTTGCACTTGTCTCGCTTTTTCTGTTTGTTATTTTGCCTTTTATTAAACCTTTTTGTTTCCAACACTGCAACAGAAGCCATCCTGCTGATTTTTATGCCTCCAAAGGTAGCTGAGCTATCTTGGGTGTGATACAGACCTCCAAGAGCTTATGAGACCTGGCTCAAGGAGGCTCCTATAACACACAAATCTCTACAGCAAAATTGGTTTTGCTGGTTTTTTTCATACCACTCTTGTTTATAACTGCAGACCTTGGAGTCCTGATCAATAAGGTAAATAAAACTGGTGTTAAAGCATCCTACTCATTCTTCTCTGTAACTGCCAAGGAACATATTAATTAGGATTACATTTGCACACATAAAGAGAATGTCATTGTTCTGTCAGCTCAGTATTCCCTCTTCTTTGAGAACCATAAACAATTATTCTCATTTGGAATCTGAATGATAAATGTATCCTGGAGTCCTGCTGTGAGACAGGAACATTTTAAATGGGAACTCTCCACTGGAAACCTTCATTTCCAAAGTAAGGACTGCATCCTGTGAATAAGTGTTTCGATGGAACCTGCCTTAACAATCATGTCAGAAGACCTTGAACATACATATTCATTTTAGCTTGTGAAAAATTTCCTGCATCCCAGCTGTGAAACAGGTTAAACTGAAAGCTTTTCCTGCAGTATAAGCACAAGTACCTGTAATATTAAGATTTAGTGAGTTGCCTTTATCTGTACTCTCTGGATTTCCTGCAAATTCTAATATTTTTCTAAGGCCTGTTTCACCTCTGGAGGCAAAAGAGATTATGTGATGGACTGTAAGAATCAGGTTTTGCTCCAAGTTTAATTGTCTTATAATTCTTCAAATATGGAAGGAACCCATGATAATTAATCATGTTATTCCTAGAATGACGAGTTTGGGATTGAAGCAGTTCTTCTACAACATATAAGGCCAAGGGTTCCTCTGTGTTGTACATACTGTGACCAGAAGCCTGCTGTGAAGTCACAAGGCTCACTGCATTTCTGCATGTCTTGGAAGGTTTTAAGTCTTTCCCTGTTTTGATCATTCAGAACCGTGGGGGATTTGGCTTTTATTATTCCTGGTGCATATACATGTCTTCCAAAGCATGATAGAAATTGTGTGTAATTGCCTGGAAATGGATATTTCACATTCAGCTGCAACTTGGAGTTATATTTTAAGAGTGGATTTTAAATATTATTTTTATTGAGACCAGGCTGCTGCTGTGCATTTTAAAGTTAATGTGTTTTCTCAGCATGGAAGCCGCATAATCGATTTGTACATTTGAGAGGATCTCACAAGAGGCCAAAATTGCCTGGCCAACCATTTACCCTGTGAAAGGCTCATGATGCTGTTCATTTATTCAAATGAAAACAAACAGTAGGAAAATGCCTTCAGCAGGAAATTACTGTGGCACTGGAAGGGCCTATTGTCTCAGAGTGTGAGGTGGGCATGTATAGGAGTACATTGCCTTCCACTCATTTTTTCTTGTAACATGGGAATAAATTGACCCTTGATAACATTTAACGTGTGGTTCTAGGAACCAGGAAGTTGAGAGCATTACCACTGAATAATGAGCTTGATTAATTCACTACAATGACAGTCAGGCATTTAGAAAAATGACTTTTCAATCTATTTGGAACGAGTTAGAGAATAAGAATAAAGGAGTAATCTGAGGAATTTTTTAAGGTCTTTCAGCAAAGACAGGCCTAGAACTACCTGCCAGGTCACCAAATGCAAATATAGGCATCACATAATATAAGTCCTTCACTTGCATAAAGTATGTTTCACAATTTTGTGCTTAACCCATCCCCTCTTTCAGACTTGTCATTCTGTATGCTCAATATCTTTGCTAGTAAGTGTGTTGAGAAAATATGACTTGTGTAGAGAACTTGTATTTTGCTCTTTTTTTAAATCATTTTTTTTAATGGCCAGTAGATATCAGAATGTTTTATGCCGAAATAAATGAAGTTCTTCTCAGTGATGATAATCAGCAATGAAACAAATTGCTTTGAGAGACTCTGAAATCTTTGGTTTTGGAGATACTCAAAGCTGAAGTGGACAAGGCCCCGGGCAATTTATCTAACCTTGAAATTAGAGCCAGCCTCAAATTTGGTGCTGCTCTGGTCTGTGGGTTTGACTGAATGATGAGATGATCCCATATGTCCCTTTCAAACTGAATTATTACAAGATTTCCAATTAATAAATCTAGGAGATTACAGTGTGAATCCTTCTGAGAAG